GTTTGTTTTTTTCGAATAACTGTCAGAAGCCACAAAAATTCCACAGGAAGCTAATCTATGGGAAACAGATTTTCATATTAGCACCATGTTTATATGACAGTGATTTAATAGAAATTTCCACAATGACAAAACATATAAAAGTACTTGAAGTTAACACAGTGGTAGATACCATTGAGAGGAAGTGCTGTGTAAAAGAACCATAATTCTTACTTGCATAAAATATTAATTATCTTATCTCCCTTAAGTTAAATTTTTAGTCAGGTTCAAACATGAAAATCATCAGTGATATCTCAAAGAAATCATACTCAGTTGTAGAGAGTAGAAAGTCAAAGAAAAAGGCCTCTTAATTGGTTATTTTAGTACTTGTCTGGAGAATTAAGTGACAAATTATTGAAATAATTTTATTCTTTTGAATAAGTGCAATGTCAAAGATACACAGTGATATCAATTAGCATGAGGAAGTGCAGTGTACACATGAACTTATTCTACATAGCTAAAAACTATCAATATCTCATTTTATGATACTTATATTTTTAATCAAGCGTTACCGGAGTATAGCCTTAGTCTAACTGTCAAACTGTCTACGATATAGAATGAAATTTATACAATTATAGAAACTAGTGTTTAAGAACAATAACTTTACATAACTTTCTTTCAGAATTATCTCCCTCTATGATACAAAAGTTCCCTATATTTAATTTAATAATACGTATTTATCTTTTGGTAATAATTTATAGCCCCTGACCGATGTCTTTCAATGTTGGTAGAAACATACCACGGGTGGTCTTTTAAGTATTGTCAGTTTGGTAAAGATCAATGTCACAGATCAGGGCTGGGAATCTAAACTGCGTCGTATCCTACAAAATGTAAACAAACGCCGCCATCTTGGAACGAAAAACGTATGTTTTTGTTTATAACTCTTTTTGTTGGAAATGACTGAAAACCAGATATATGTATTAACACGCTACACTATTTTCCGCTTCGTTCGGTATATGTTGCTTGCACAACTTTTTTGTAAAACAAAAGTTATAGCAAACTTGCAACTCGAAGCGGGGTAGAATTTTTATGAAAATGTGTGGATACTACGCAGTTCATATTGCTTTATCTATCGTTTTTTCCTTCAAATCAATTATATATTTGTTTCAGAGTTCACCATAAACTTCGAAATATAATTTTGCACCATTTACTAAAATTTCATTAAAAAGGAGATGTTTATTTTCAGTGAAAATAATGAATTTTACGAAATGATACGACGCAGTTGAAAATAAAATATGATACGACGCAGTTGTATTTTTGGCAGTCTTTTCAACATGGGTAATTTTGGCAGTATATTTCTATTTTATGGAATAATCACTTGCGCTAGATAAAAACCCAGATAATTTGAGGTGTATAGCAATGTTCTGTTGCTTTTGATTATTTAGAATACATTGTGTCATGTCCAATATAACATTTAATTTGAAAGTTTACATTGCGGAAGCTACTTTTCAGTTAAACATGAACATGTCACCTAATTGATCATAATATCTGAAATTATTTCTTATATTTTCCTGTATGTTCAATATTATCCCTAATTCTTTTCGCAAAAAATGTAGAAATCTATTAACTTGAATTCATTTTGGCTAGCTACGCTCTAAGTTAACTGCGGTTTTGCGTGTTCTGGGTAATGACTGCTTTTTGTGGTTTGTTTTCAAACTTTCACTCTACACATTAGCTTTATAGGGGCGAGGACCTCAGGTGCGCCTTTGTGCATTATTTCAGGCAAAATGTTGCACCTGCAGAGAACCATCGACATTTCGAAACTAGCTTGATAGGTTTTCCAAACAAAAGAATAAAAAGACCCTAGTGTTTTCGAATTCATAGCATTTCAGTTCAAGTGATTCGAATTCAGTAAACATAAACAGCTCGGCCTCGGTCGGACACACCTGTCGGATTTGTTTTGTGGTTTTTTTTTCAACAAAATTTGTTAACGTCACCTGTACAAATTAAGCAGCATTTTATTAATTTCTGGCGTGAAGTTTTAAGATTATAAATATTTGAATTAGTTATATAGAAAATAACATTTAAATTTCTTATTTCGGTATGACCAGTAGAGAAATTTTCAATGTAAACAGTGGGTAATCCTCTGTGAAGTCATTTTCTAAAAACGTTTGTTTAAGTTTTCAGGCAATTCATTATCATATAAAAATCACACTTTTGTATGAAGGTATGTTAAGATGTCATGATTGTCTCTAGTCTGTTGAAAATTCGATGCGATAATCTGACCTAAATTTTCTGTTCAATATTGTGAAAACTTCTTCAATACTGTTGAAAGATCATGTCTGCCTATATCTGTATCAAATTTATCAGTGCACAGCGTAAAATACCTTTGCAAACGGACACCTTTACAAAATAATTTGTAATTGTATATCATATGTAACTCGATTTTGAAATTCTAATGTTATTAAATGGAGAAGAATGATAATGAATTGCAAATATAGAAAACATTTTCCATAGACATTTCCTCATCGGCGATAAAGAAATGCAATACGACAAAAATCAGCGGTAAAGTTCCGCGGGGCTGAACATAAACGCATAACCTACTTGCAAAAAGATATTGTAGCTTAGTAAATTATAATATAATTTTAAAAATTTAATGTTCAGTTTCAAATAATCAAGCTCATCTGTTCTCCCGATAATTAAGAAAATGAATACAATAAAATCTGCACGTAAATGACATACATGTAAGTAATTACGGAATTGACGGAAATTATTAATAATCACAAGTAACAAAGGAGCTTCCGATAGCAAGAGACCTTTTTCAAAATTTGTAATTCTTTCTCTTTTTTTAAAAAAAGGATCATTCCTGATAAAGTCAGGGTCCAGAAGAGGTTACCCTGGAATATTGAACTTTGTATCAAAAATAGTAATCACTCCCATTTCGAACTCACGGGAACAATTTTAGAATCATGCTCAGGCAACACTGGAACACGTAGTCATATGGGTGTGCGATCACGTGTTTCAATGTACATGTATATTGCATTTGATACAGCTTTTCGGAATCTGTAGATGCTTATATGATAGGTACTAAAATGCGACCGAAAAATGCAGCCTTAGTAGAATTGTATTACATTTCCATTTTTATGGAACCAATGAGCGACCTCTGGTTTTGACAAGAAATATTGTTTACCTAGTACATAATTTAAATAGTTTAACCAATATGCAGCCTGCAATGATAATACAACTGCGTCGTATCATATTTTATTTTCAACTGCGTCGTATCATTTCGTAAAAATCATTATTTTCTTGGAAAATGAACATCTCTTTTTAATAAAATTTTAGTAAATGATGCAAAATTATATTTCGAAGTTTATGGTGAACTCTGAAACAAATATATAATTGATTTGAAGGAAAAAACGATAGGTAAAGCAATATGAACTGGGTCGTATCCACACATTTTCATAAAAATTCTGGCCCGCTTCAATTTGCAAGTTCGCTATAACTTTTGTTTCACAAAATAGTTGTGCAGTGCAAGCAACATAAACCGAACAAAGCGGAAAATAATGGAGCGTTTCTGGTTTTCAGTCATTTCCAACGAAAAGAGTAATAAACAAAAAAATGCCTTTTTCGTTCTAAAATGGCGGCATTTGTTTACATTTTGTAGGATACGACGCAGTTTTGATTCCCAGCCCTGACAGATGCTTAAAACATATAATTACACTTTTCTTAAACAGATGTTGTTTATGCACTAATGTCTTACGTATTTGGTATGTGAAAAAAATGCTATTGTACGATTCAAAGGTCAAGGTATTGTCTGCTAAAAATTAAAATTTATACTTTGCTTATAGAGCCTTTATCTATTTACTGCTGTGTTTCCTATCATTACGTAAACATGTTAGGTGGTACTTCAACTTCAGGTGATGGAGAAGTGAACATTTGTGTCAAGAAAAATGTTACCAGACTGATTTCAACCTATTTTTACAATTTTGGTCATGCATACTTTAACTGAATGGTGCGTTTCATATTAAATAGAAATATGTCCTGGGCGGTCCTCTAACGTTCTGTGATAAATCTAACGTAGGGGATTAAGAGAGGTTTTGTCACTCGTGCTAAAAAAATATTTAAAGTAGAGATTTACACTTTTGTTCTTAAAGTCTTCGGGGTGATTCCATCGCCTCCAGAGAAATTCTTGTTAGTTGTTATGACCATACAATCTGATATAAATCAGTCAAATGTTCAGAACGAATAAGCATTTAAATTTTCAAATATTATTGCTTTAATGTTGAGAAGATGACATTTTGAATTGACGCTGCGTAAAAAAGATGGAACAAGCTCAAAGATAACTGTGACATTTAATATTATCCAGTTTTATCTACCATGTTTATCTTTACAATGATAAACAAGTGACATTTCTAATTGCATAAATTATTATACCATATATTTGTCACAATTACGTTTACTACTGTGCAAATTTGAAACCTTCAATCGTTAATCATTTATAATGTTACTGTGGTTTTGCATCGTTTTCAAACATCCCTCTTACCATTAGAGTGTCATACTGCTAATGTTTGATTTTTGACTTCGTGTCGTCTTCGATAAATATCATAAAATCTTAAGGTGTTTATTTAATTTTAACCGTCGTCCCCATTACCCCCGTTCTTCATGCATTCTAATTCCTTTTTCTTTGACAGTTGCATTAATTGTCCTATTCAATATCTGTCATTTTTTTATGAACTCATATTTTTACATTATTAAAAAATGCTACCACTACCTGTCTGTAGTTTGCACTCACAAGGTTTTTATTGGTGTTCTGTGGGCTCCTTGCCGGAGGTCCGATTGCTCGGTTGTGTTAGGGTGGCTTGTTGGTCGTTGTTTTCTACGTTTTTATATATTAGTTTTCAGAAATTTCATTATCCAACATAAATATATATGCAACCCTTTCAGCATTTTTATGCAATAACTAATTTTGATAATTGTTATACGCACCATTAGTTCTTTGAAGTACTTTTTATTGTAGCATAACAATGAGTCAGTCGGATAATCTGTTAGAAGAAATTTGTGCATATATAAGCAGAGGAAAACATTCGAAAAAGAGGTGTGTCTTATTATACATAGCCACCGATAAAGCAGATGTAGACGAGTTTCATACAAAATGTGATGCTCAAGGACCTACAGTCACCATCCTATATGGAAAGTTCAATTCAATTTTTGGTGGGTATACTTCTAAAAATTGGACTTCCCCAGAGACACCGTGCAAGGTAAAAGATGAAGAAGCGTTTCTTTTTACAAAGTACGACAACCCATATGAAAAATGCCGTTTCATTCCGATAAAGAAAAAAAAGGAAGATATAGCAATTACATGTGGTGCAAAATTCGGCCCAACATTTGGGGGAGGACCCTGGGTAAGGGGTTATGATTTGAAAGTCTTCAAACGAGATACCAAGCCAGAATCTGTGTACACTGATCAGTTTTTGCATTTGAATGGTTCGTTAAACATCAACAATGCTTATTCTGATTCAACAAATCAAAAGTTCAGCATTAAATCAGAAGACATTAACTATGGAAAATTGATAGTCAGAAAATTGGAAGTATATAAGGTCATAGGTTAGAAATTGAATTCATTTTTACTGTAAAATGTTTTTGCCAGATCTGATTTAGTACCAGGACATAAAACCTTTTTATAAGATTTTGATTGCTTTTTTTTTTTTTGGTAAATGAATTCAAATTTAATTTTATTTAGCATTTGAATTTGGATTACTATTTTGTAACTTAACGTGATTAACTTACCTTAAATAATTCAATTTTTGAATTAGTAAGTAGTATTGCTTGAAGAAATACAAATATATCTGTAAAGGGGATGATTGGTGGGTAAAAGTCAACAATTGTTAGCCTTAAAGGTTTGTTCAAAATAATAAAATGCTTTACGCCTTTTATATAGATGACGAGTTTCCTGAAAATTGGTTTGAAAAACTGGAGGTAGTATTTTATAACATATCAGCATCTGTTATCAATCGTTGAAATATTTAAAGCTCAACATTTGATCCGTTAAAAATTGTAAAACTTCTGTTTAAAATTATGTTGATTTTTCTTAAATACTCTATTTAAACATTGTTTTGAACTATTACAGAACATATATTTATTGGTATTGAAATAGCTTCTTTCACTTTTGTCTTGATTTATGCTCGTGTACAATTTAATCATTTTTATCACTTTATGGCAAATGTACGAAAGACCGGTAGGGCCATTTAAACTTCATGAATTCTCGATTTCATCTTCATGAATTCACAATTTAAACTTCCTGAATTCCCATTTTCAACATACGGAATTCACAATTTCAGCTTTATAAATTCTCGATTTCAACTTCATGAATTCACGATTTTCACGATTTCAACTTAGCGAATTCATAATTTCAACTTCATAAATTCACAATTTCAACTTCACGAATTCAATTTCGTGAATTCACGATTTCAACTTCACGAATTCCCGATTTCAACTTCATGAATTCACGATTTCAACTTCTTGAATTCACGATTTCAATTTCACGAATTTATAATTTATTTCAACTTCATAAATTCACGCTTTCAACTTCACGAATTCAAGATTTCAACTTCATGAATTCAAGTTCATACTTTCACGATTTCAACTTCAAGATTTCAATTTCATGAAGTTGAAATCGTGAATTCGTGAAGTTAAAATCGTGAATTCAAGAAGTTGAAATCGTGAATTCGTGAAGTTGAAATCGTGAATTCGTGAAGATGAAATCGGTAATTCATGAAGATGAAATCGGTAATTCATGAAGTTGAAATACTCCCGTTCTTCGTACAAATGTCCAATCTGTGCGTTTTTTGCTTTTTGCTTTCATTTGTCCGAGACAAAACTAAAATATTAGGCTGGTCTAGTAAAATTAACACAATGCATGTATACGGACAAACGAAAAATAATCGTACAGATACAAGTACTTAAAAACTAAACTTGAATTTCTAAATCAATTATGTCATACAATGTTATAAATTTATCTATAATTTCAAGGGAGAAAAATATGACACGACTAAAAGAAATCTTATTGATATGAAGCCACTTCATGGATTGAATATCAAACAGTATAATATTCTTCTTGTTGGACCTACCGGAGCTGGGAAATCTAGCTTCATCAACACATTATCAACAGTGTTTACAGGAAAATTTGAAAAAATTGCACCGGCAAGAGATGGTTCGATATATATCACCTCCAAAGTATGTCATATTGGTCATTCATAATTTTGTGTGCTTCGTGATTATTCAACGAACTATCATTGTGCTCATGAATTATAATGATTTATTAAACTAAATTAAGCTTTATTTTTAATTCGTTTATATTATACTAACCATTTTAAAATTCCTATATTAATCTCAAAAAGAATATGCATCGGCAGTTGGTGAAAAAAATATTTGAGACCTACATCCAAGCATTAACAAATTTGTTTTCAGTCAGAAAATTAACCTTGTAAACTAAGAGTTTGAAAGGCTATTGATTAAAATGTATTCTAAATATATTTCCTAAAGGTAAGACCATATCCCATCATAACAGAAAACAAAGAAAAACTGAATTTACGCATTTACGATATTCGAGGATTTGAGGAAGGAAGGGGATATGGAAAAGAACTTGAACTTCTGTTAGATGGAAGGTTGCCTCAAAATTATCAAGTATATACATAAATATATCAGATATATTTGAATCGATAAAGTGGCAGATCTTAAATTATAATTATAATTCGTATTATATTCAAATAATGTAATAATCACTATTACAACATCATTCAAATGACGTTATTGAAAAAGAAGAACTAATTATAGTAGATGGTGTCAAACTTTAGTAGCATACACTGCGATAAAAGTTATTTTGAATTGTAATTATCTTAATTTGTCTAGTTCCCTGATGAGGTAGGGAGTAATGTTATAGATGAAGTAAAAGATCCGTCTTTAAATGAAAAGATTCATTTAGTATGTATGGTGGAAGCGGAATCCTGCTTTGACAGTTACACACCAAAGATTTTAGAACATATTGAAGACATTAAAAAGACAATTTCAACCAAAGGTAACACTAAACATGATATAAACGTCTGAAATAATTGAAACAGAAAATATTATGTACTACTAAATAATATGCTTTTAATAATTTGTTTAAATGAGTGTATTGTTGCTACTTGTGTATATTTTCATACACTAAATGTATATATATTTTTGGTTTGTTTAAAGTAATCAGATAAATTTTGAAAATTAAACTAATTTCAATTCATTGTCATTGTATTGTTTATTGATTTGTTTTTGTTTTTTTTTTTTTATATTCAAGGTTTACCCTTGGTTGTCATTGCAACAAAACTTGAAATGCGCTGTACACACATATCCAAAAATGTTGATCATCTATTTAAATGCAGTAAAGCAAAGGAAGCTGTTTCAGACATTGCCGAATTCTACGGCGTAAAGAAAAGTCATGTTTTTCCGGTAGTAAATTATATCAGCGAAAGCGGACCTGTGACAGCTAAAAATCAGTTAGCATTGAAATCTATTTATGACATGTATAAACTGACTGAAGAATATTTTACTCACCACGAAGGTACTGTATTATTTGATTACAAGTCTTGTTTATGATACACATATGGTCAAACTGTAAAAATAATAATTATGATATGTACATATGCATTTACAATGTTATTGCGCCAATATTAGCGTCACGTTTAGCGTGACGCGCCATTTTATACGTTATTGTATTGACGTCATTATATGAGTTGACTTCCGGTAATCAATAATAAAACAACGTTATTGAAGAACCAGTGCACTCTTTTGATTATTTAGTGTTTACACAACATTTTGGTCCCGCGAACCGGATAACACTATGGCAACAAAATTACGTTCTATACAGAAGGGTCACAAAGGCGCAGTTAGAAGACTCCTGAACAAATTCGGGGCAATTCAGCGTGAAGCAGCCGATCACGAGGAACTTGTGACGATCATTGATTCCCTCAAACAGAAACAGCAGACGATCACGGAGATTCACGAAAAGATCCTTGATTCTTTTCAAGACGAAGAGGAAGAACAAATAGAAACAGAAATTCTTGAGCATGATGAGTATACATTATATATATATATATATATATATATATATATATATATATATACATGTTTAAGACCAAGATACAGAAGATACATGATTTTAGGAAGGTATCAAATTGAAATTTGAACTACAATTCCCTAGTTCTAAATCCTATCACTCTGGCAAATCAAGCGTCCGTATCCAGCGAAACATCCGAGATTTGTGCGCCAGGTATCAGCGAGAATACTACCCAGATGCATTTCTTACCTTCCTAATCTCAAAGCTCAGTATATAACAAATTACCAAAGTTAGATTTACCGAAGTTCGACGGAAATGACTTTGACTGGTGTTCATTCTGGGATTCTTACGAGTCTGCTATACATACGAATCTTTCACTTAGCGGAGTACAGAAATTCAATTACTTGAAGTCGTGTCTTAAAATGAGGCTTTGCAAACAATAGCTGGATTTGATTAACGAATGTTAATTATGAACAGGCTATTTCATTATTACATGAGAGATATGTTCAAAAAGACAGAATTATACAAACTTATATGAAAGCATTACTTGAAGTTTCAGCACCCATGTACACTCTACAAAGTGTTAGAAAATTCTATGATACAACAGAGACATATAGCAGAGCATTAGCTTCACTAATTTAAAATCAGAATGAGACTACATACGATTCACTACTTACACCTTCAAAAACTACCGCCAGAGGTCAGAACAAACATTACACGTGCGCACGGGATACAGTCGTGGTCTTTGCGTGAATTGATGAAATGTATACTGAATGAAATCAATATTTTAGACGCTGGAAATTTGCTGAATACCCCTTAAGACTTCATTCCTACAGCAACTTTTTAACAAAATCTGATTCCAGTCAGCCGGAAAGAAAAAATACATCCATACCAGGCAATTTACGAAAACATAGACAGAGATGCGTGTTTTGTAAGGGAGAGAACTCTTGTATAGACTGTGTAAATTTTAAAAATCGCGAACAGAGAATATAGTGAAGGAAAGAAGGCTATGTTTTAATTGTCTGGGAAACCACAAAATTACAGACTGTAGGTCTAAATTCAAGTGTAAAATATGCTCACGCAGACATCATACTAGTATTTGTTGAGTAGAAATAGCAGCGGAATATACAGATATCATATAAGTATCCTGTTATCGACAATGAGAATAAGGTTTCATTTTAAAAGGAAAGGCTTGCTCAGTTTTGCCATCTTCCCTTCCCTTTAAAAAAATTTTTTTTTATTGTTTCAATTTATTATCACAATTTTTTTTAATTACGTTTTTGTATAATTATCATAAAGGGTTTATTTAGTGTTTTTTCTCGTAAAAAAAGTTTCACTTTTAAAGGGATATGTAGGGTTTTTTCGTTTTGGCAGTTGCTAATTTCATTTATATAGCAGCTTTAGAGACGAGTAAATGCACTAAAAGACTTCGTTACGAGGTACCAATTAATAAGCATGTATCAACTATGTTACACTGTTGACAACACAGGAGATCAGCACGTGGCAAGGTTAATGATATGCATGGGCTATTTTTTGATTACCTCACCAAGACGTTTAAACTATGTCAGTAGATCTAAATATAACTTGATCATGCTCTAATATTCTGCGTGATTCGGTCACGATCTTTTGGTAAGCAGGACCGCTCTTTGGAGACGGAATACTACAACAATAACCATTCTCTATTGTATAAAACTAATAAAGACAAAACCAATTATTACAGAAACTAACGTTTGCGTCTTGAAAAAGAATTGAAACGGAATCAAGTAAAAATAGAAATCCTATTAATATAAACAAACTGGGATTACCGAAGTAACTAAAATAGCTTCTAAGAATTCCGTAATATTACTACGTCTGATTCCGCAGTTTGACGGAATCGCCCGAATTGTCACGATTACAATCGGAACTACGTCGGCTATTATCATTAATCCGAAGAGTGACGGAAAGGGCCGAAAAGTTGCGATTGGCACGATTGCAGCTGCTTTCCCGTTCAATCATGCACTAACATATGTAAGCAGGAAACCACCTAACCGGAACAAGTTTTCCAAAACAAATGTCTTGCAGCCGTGGCTGCAAGCCAAAAAGAACTCCTCTTCGGTATTACATTCTGCTCACTCTACCACACCATCCTGTATTATTAAAAACAGCAGTTTCCATGGTAACCTCAAAAAGTACCTCCATTTCTGCCAATACCCTATTTGATGAAGGTTCCCAGAGTTCATTTATGGGTGAACACCTGGCCCAAAAATTACAATTGGAGCCCACCGGAAGTGAAACATTATACATGTCTGGTTTCGGAGACACAGAGCGTCGCGTGTGACATTTAAACAGAGCTATCGTGTATTTTAGCACGAATCGCTTGATTTTAATATGAAATTAGACAAAGCCTATGAACGGGGAAGTCGTTAAAAAATCCTTTCATTCTTTCCGTTTTAAAGGTGTCATTCGGTATTACATGCACCGCTTCCGTTTTCACTCGGAACACTCGACGTTTATTATTTATCCGAAAAGTTGAGATTTGTTCCGTTATCGGAATACCCCGCCTATTATCATTTAGTTACATTGTAAATGGCGGCGCCCGACTAGAACTGACACTGAAAATTTCATTGATAGGTATAGAATTCTATTTATTTTTTAATTGTTTTTTATTTGATTTTCTTTTAAATATACACGTGTAGTCTATAGCCGGGCAAGCCAAAGCCCGGACCCGCTTCGCGGGCCCGGTCTTTGACTTCCCCGTATTATGAGAGCTTAAGCATATTTCGTACAAACACAGTCTTTTAACTATTTGAAATTTAAATAAATAATACGACAAATTCATTCGGAAAAAATGTAAATAATACAAGTTTGCTTCTAGACTCTAGTGTACTTTGTACACATAAAGATTAAACAATTCTGTAGAAGTAACTGTACAGTAGAAGTACAGACAGGAAATATTTGTTTAATAAAAATGCTACTATTAGATCTACCAAGTGTATTAAATACATCAATACACGTCATAGTTGTGCCAGAATGTGATAATCGGCCCTGAAATGAATAATGCCCTCGGGCTGAAGCCTTCGGGCCATTATTCATTTTGCGGGCCGTTTATCCCCTTTCCCACCCCAACCTGCCCTGTTTTAATCCCCTTAAACTGCAGTTTTAAAATTGCCTTTCCATGGGATGTTTTGATACAATCATATAAAGATTTCTGAAATTTTTTATAAAGAAATTTTTCATTTCAGTAAAATAAATGTTTTTGCTGTATTTTTAATTTTTTTTACACTTTTCATATGAAACATTTTTTTTAAAACAATGTTACATAATGAACTTTTTTATAGGGACCTTTAAAAAGGAAAACCCCAAAAAATCTTACCCCCAGTAATTAGAAAAAATTTAACTAAGAACTTTTAAAGGGAATTAAAATTTTGGCCAATTTTACATGATCTTTTTTGAAAAAATTCACATTAAGATCAGTCCAATCTTTTTTTTAAAAATTTGATAATTTTTCATTTTTTTTTTAAAGGTTTGGACAAAAAACGGGATTTTCGCCCTTCATCCCAGGAAGTCTGAAAAAATTTGTCATGTTTTCCCCTTAAGCTAAAACAATGGTTTTTGAAAGAACTTTTTCCTTTTATGGGAAAGTATATTGATTGAAAAATTTTGAATAATGAAAATGTTTTTCCCAATATCTCGGGAGTTTTCAAACGGGAATTAACGGGCCTCCCCAAATTTAAATTTTTTTCTGTTTTTTGAAAAAATAATTACAAAATTTGAATTTCAAAAAAAACCTTTTCTTTTTTTTAAAGTTAATGGTCGGGATAAATTTAAAAAATGATCTATTTTTTCCCCATTTAATCCAAAAATAATATGCAACTTTTCCCCATACAAATAAACGGTTTGGGTTTTTTCAAAAGGGGTTTCTAAGTTTTTTAATTTCCCAAAAAAAAATGAAGGGTTTTTCAGCGCCGGGGAAAAAAACAAGGTTTGGGTTTAGTTGCTTTTCACTAAAAGGAAATAAAAAAGGGAAATTAGTTAAAATTGTTTTTATTTTTAATAAATCCAGGTTATCTGACTTTTGCTATCCATTTTTGTGTCCCCTTTAAGGGAAATTAGGGGCCCACATTAAGGGATAAATTTCTCCTCGTCGGGCCGCCCGGGCCCGTCTGCCGCCCTGTCACAAAATTTGTCCCCATTCCCCTCAAAAACACGGGGAAATTTTCACCAAATTTTACGGGTTTTTATTTTCGCCCCCTACCCCCTTTCACTTCCCATCGCCGCGGGGGGTCAAAAAATTTCCCGGGACTTCTCCTCAAAAAAAACTATTTGGTCCCCAATTTTCATCCAAATTTTACGGGAAAAAGATCATTTCCCCAATCAGGGCATTTTGTCAGCTTTTTCCGGGTTTTAAATAATTTTTGTCAGATTTAGGCCCCCTTTAATAATATTTATTTTTAAAGTTTGTCCGGACTACTTCTCTTATACCACTAATGCAATTTCAATAAAACTTTACAGGATTGATCAGTAGCTTAAGTATAGGCGCATATATTACACAAGTTTTCCA